AATCAAATCAAAATAACAAATAACCTGAAACGACTGATATTGAGATGGTGAAAATGCTCTTTCGTTGAGTGTCGTTTTACTTTTCTGACGGTCTTTCGACTGCAAAGACAAATTAATTATCAATTTGTAACTAACAACAAATAAGAATACAAAACAGAAACGAACAAACCTCTTCATCAGTACGATACTCTTCATCTAATCGCTGTCCACTTCTCGTCTCTGACTTATTTCTGCTGCCAGAATTCGATCCCGCATGACGGTCACTTCTGAATGGGCCATTGCTCTGTTGCTGTCCCCGTCCCCTCCCGCCACGCTTCTGTTGACCCGACCTCTTCGAAGCATACATATCGGAGCCTTCGTATGCCTTGAACACGTTTATATTCACTATTCGATCGCATCGATCAAATATGACAACAACCACAAAATCGAACCGCATTACTCACCGACACAAATCTGTCATCGTGATTTGATCGACTCGTATTTTTGTTGTTGTTACTGCCACGGCTCTGTTCACGATATGACGAATATCTGTGGTTACGCTCGAAATGCTGAAATTATATCAATAAGACAATAACAGATAAATAAAGCAAAACCAAGCAAGATTCAACCTTCTGATTATAATCCGCCGCAACAGTTCCATCGCCGCGAAATTGCTCATTTCTATTCTGTTTCTTGCTCGGTGATTTCGAATTGAATCTCCAACTATGCTCATCGTTCCAATTATAGTTCCTGTACTGCCGTCCTCCCAGTGACGACGGAGGTCTGTCGAATAACGACTGACTTGAGCTCTATAATTGGTATGTGATGAAAGACATAGTCAGATGAATAGATGCACTCACATGAAATCCTTTCACATTATTGATGAGGCGTTGCCTGGGACTGTTGCTCACAGCCTCTTTATTGATATTGCATCTGGATGAGGTGATTGTCGAGTTGGACTCGTAGCGATACGTACTGCTTGTGGACGATGAGCCTCCACTACTCTTCCTTCGACGTCTTCTTCGCTTATAACCACCTTCCGATTGAATATCTAATTGCAATTCGTTATTTTCTTTTAATTTCAATTCATTCATTCAATTATCTAATGGATATACCATCGTTACTGCACACTGATGCTATTTCAGAACGTTGATCCAGGTCAGCTGCATTATACGAGCGAATCGTATCCCCCTTTCCCCCACCCCGAGAACGACCCCGTCCCGCTCTCCCTCCTCGATTATTACTTCTACCACTACCAGACCATTCATCCAATTTCTCTGCAAACGTATTCACCATATCAAAATAATTAGTTATCGCGATACACCTGTCTAATCTCCACATGAGGTTGTCATATGTATATTCCTCAATCAATTAATGTTTTGGCAATAAAGCCAACAATAACCCGATTTTCGTGGATCGTTTGTGGTTATTTCGGTGATGGGTTGTGATTTCGGTGGTTTTGTTCTTGGTAAAGTGCGTGATTGACCGACTTTTGTGATGTCAACACCCTTCATCATTCCAGGCCGGTACAGTTGTACCGCTGGACGGGGTTTTCGACTCTTTGACTCTTCACTGAGTGCTGCACTCCCCCCTTCCCCCGCTGGAGGGAGTTCTGACATTTGATTTGATTATTCTGTGCTCCTGAAACTGGAGGGAATAATTCAAATATGGGGCAGCCTATAGGCACAATTGCACGAGATATGGAAGTTGTACGAATGAGCATTCAATTCATTTGACATGCATTTACAATAGCTTTTCTATGTGCTACTAATATTTCAGTCGTGCTCATTGCTAATTCTTTGACATATTCGAATACGGTTCCAAAAGTACTTTTAAGAGAGGAAATCAACAGACAATGGAGCAGATGAAATTACGAGATCGAAATGAGAGCGCGACAATTTTTTGATGATTTTCGGGTGAAACGACAGAGATAAACGCATTCGATGAGCAATATCAAACGCGAGTGGGTCTCATGCATACGCTTCGATATCTTCCGATAAAAGTAACATCATTCCAGATAATATGCAATTCTTTAAAGCTTAAAATAACCCTGCAAACATCTTCACCACAAAGCACACCTAACGGATTCAGTTCACTTTACAGCTCCCAACTAATCAACCACTTGAAACAAAAGCGTAATTTTATAATAGCAAAAACAGCAAAAAACAAATCAAACAAGAACATGTTCCGCTTATTAAAGCAAAACGCAACGCATTAGAAGTACAACAGCAATTAAATGAATTACAACAACAGCAATTAAATACCGTAAAGTTCTCTTCCTAGGACGTTAAATGCTTCATTTCGAACGTTTTAATTATTAAGAACGACGAAAATGAGCTAATTAATGCAAATTAATCATCAAAAGAACGCTATTTGGCCTGTATATCAACTAACTCCAAAGCAACTGATATGGCCATGATCAAAGCGCCAAATCACTTACTCAGACCGAGTGTGAGTAAACAGGCACATGACCACGCTCAATGCTATTGCAAAAACACGTGCGGTTGATGTACGAGCGATTCGTTCGTTATGTTGCCACTTGGTTTGCTGATGCAATTGGCTCGTCACATCTGACATAATTCTACTGCGCTGCTCACCAAATCGGTCTTGCAATCAACTCGAAACGTGTAAATAAAACACGCAACGGACACAATTTTATTATCGATACATCAATAAAAACCACCATTTTCAGCACAAGAACAAATGAGTACACTATGAACGGTTACCGAAGATGATTTAAACATCAGCAGTTCATTCCTCATCTATTTCAATACTATACAGTTGTTCTTATCCTAGACAATTGAAAGTAGCATTAAAATGGATGAGATAAAGAGTCACATCAAATAAAAAGCATAAACCAGAAACTTCACGTAATCTTTCATCGTATCCTAGCCAATCGATCAATCACATCAGCCTCAATGTCTAGAGATTAAATCGAAACTGGATATTAGTTGAATAATCATAAACAATATCAATTCAATAATACATACATATACAATATCAACAACATTTTGCTAATTAAAATTTCAATAACGAAGAAAATTTGCTGACAAATGAAACAATCAAATAAACGAACGCGGAATATGAAACACGATCAACGAACAATTCGTTCTTCAAAACACTGAAAACCGAACGAAACACTCAACAAAATACGAAGAAATAAATCACTTTAACAATCCAAATAATGACCGAACACAGCGCGTGTAATTATTCCATTAACTGATTGCATTACGCATCGACAAATCAAATGATATAAAAGAGCTGATAAAGGATTTAGCAGTTCGATAGACGTATGAAAAGAAAAACACTAAAAACACAAGATTTCACAGGAAAGGAAACGAAGAAGGAGGAACAGACAGCAGGATATATTCAGAAGGATAAATGTGACGATTGAATTCAGTGAGACTTTCGCGGGAAAGGTGGAAAACAGCGAACGAAAGAGGAAGAAATACTTTCACGAATCGGAACGCATCAACGGAACAGACTAAGAAATAGTGATGTGATAAGACGAGACGAGATGACAATCGAAACATCCCACATCAAACCATTATCACTCGATACACAAATCAAATGAACATTTCTTATCCAAACAAAATCACAAACGAATGAAATGATCTTGCAAAGATACTCTCAACAACATAACCGCATTCTCAAAAGGGTACGGCAATTGCGTTCAACAGATACACACTCCTTAATTTATATTCATTCTACACTATTTTAATTTTCTTATTCTTAGCAAAATAAACGAGTAAAAAATAGGCAGACTGTTCACAGCCAATACGTCTTTATCAACAAAATGGTGATTATTTATTTCATTTGTGACGTTTATCAGAGGAATATAACGAACATTATGTAAAATACAACGAAAAGTATTCATTCTGTTTTGTAAACTGAATGAATAAAATTGCTCAAATGCGTCAAAAATCGTCAACTTTTCTTCGATACATACAACCAATCAATAAAAGTAGTTCATAACCTTTTGATTGCGATGATAAGTTTAAGGATGATAATAATGAGTCTTACCGCGTCAACTACTAATCACGGCAAATTGAACGAGACGGATTAAAACAAACAATGTCAACTCAAATCAAATCATACAATAAAGAACGAAACAAATTAATAATGAATTCAAACAAGATGATACAAATAATTAATGATCTTGCATTGATGGTACTCCTCCTTGTCCTGAACCAGCCAAAGCTAGCGCGGCTGCCGTATTTTGTGAAGCTTTTTGTTTCAGCATTGTCCAATCGAATGTGTAATCGTACTGAAACCATACATATTTTGTTAACAAAAGACACCAGAAATTAACACAAGTAAGGTATAACAACACCAAAAAATAATGCAAAATGACCTGATGATTAAGCGTTCTGAAGAGAATACGGAAAAGTTGACGGAGATACATGTAGTCAGGTGCTTCATCGAAACGCAATCCACGACAGTAATTTAAATACATTGCAAACTCGGCTGGAAAGCCTTTGCATAGAACCTGAATTGATTTATTATTCACACGGTTGATCAGTGCCTCCTCCATCGGTCAATCACAAATAATAACAATCCGAAACGCTCACCTCAACAGGCGTCGACATTTTCTTTTCACTAATTTTTTCGTATTTTTGTTTCTTGGTCGCAGCTTTCAGTCCTTGCCATGGGAGCGTTCCCCTGTAAATGAAACGAATAGCCACAAGCACGAAATCGAAAGCAATTCCAATGAAACCCACTTATTGAAGTACATCAACACATAACCCAACGATTCCATATCATCCCTACGTGACTGTTCAATACCCAAATGAGCATTTATTGATGCGTAACGTGCTGTTCCAGTTAGATTCTGTAATACATCAAATTAACAACACCAGCGCACGTCTACAAAATAATCAATAAGTAATGATGAATAAACCACCTTATCCTCCCGGTATGGTATATGTGCCCGAGTTCGAGAGTCACGATATTTCTTCGCCAAGCCGAAATCGATCAAGAATAACTTATTACAGTGACGACCAATACCCATCATGAAGTTGTCAGGCTAAAATCAAGAAAACAAGTCAGTGAAATAAATCCACTACACAAACAAAATAAAAACAACCTTAATATCGCGATGAATAAAGTTCTTGACGTGCACATACTCAATACGCCCAATCATCTGGTCAGCCAACATCAGTACTGTCTTCATCGTAAAACGTCGACTACAAAAATTGAATAAATCCTCGAGCGACGGTCCTAACAGATCCATTACGAGTACGTTGTATTCTCGTTCTGTGCCATACCTTCAACGAATCATCTCCTACTATCACCCTCGTAAAAGTCAACCGAATCAACAAACAACAAACCATCGAATGTGTGGTATTCCGACTCCACCTTGCAATATTTTATATACCTTGCTCTCATAGAGCAATTGTGGATGTCGCGCCTGCAAATGACATCTTTTATCATTATCACTAGACATAATGAATAATCTGGGTGGTAACATAATGAATAATCTGAATACATCAAAACATTTCACCAACCAAATCAATATCAAATACACATTAAATCAACCAAATTATCATAGACATATCAGAAGATAATCACTGCCAATGTCAAATACCTTATTCGCCTCCATTTTGACGGCAACCTCCTCTCCATTTGTGATATTAATCGCCAAATAAATATCTCCAAATGAACCCGAACCAATCTTCCGAATCAACTTATATTTGGTCGCCACTATGAAATCACGTGAATTTGCTGCGACCGCAGCCATATTCTATGCTTTGATCTGTAATTTAATACAGTCATTATAGCACCCCATCGATTAATCAAGACAGTACAAGCAAATAAGTCTGTTGATTCACAAACAATAGCCGCAGACCTTCCCAACCAAACTCGGAATGAACACATCCTTATACAACGTGAAAATACTTTATATGTAATGCAAGTGATCAAGCAGAATAATTGAAAAAATTTGACATTATGCAGATTTCTATTCAAATATTCTCATTTTTGAATGATCTGTGCAAATAGCCATTCATAGCAATCGAGTAAATTCAAGACAACTATCTTGACCACAAGAAATGACAAGTGAATTGAACAATTAAATTTTTCGAGCGGACTGTAACGAAACTAGTGGATTGATGGATACGTTACTGATGTGTAAATGAACTATAATAAATTCATCATTGCATCTGATTCGGGAAAGATGTCAGATTTTACTATTATATATTATTTTACTATTTCAACACAAATTGATCAAACAAAAACCTAGCTAACATGGCACTCATTTTTACGCAATTCTTAACAATTATCACGTTTATTCGCGCTAATGAATCGAAAAGTAATCCTTCAAAAAAAATTAACAAAACAGTTTCCTGCTTCAGTTTGGCTCCTATAATTAAATGAAGTTATGAAAAATTACAGGGAATCCTGATACCATGGCTAAACTAAATCATTTCCAGATGCTAAAATTCGGAAACCACCCGAAAGTAATCAATAAATACTAGAAATAACCATTCCGTACCTTGGTATAACACAATTTCAACCGATTTCTGTGATAAACTAACCCATCCCAAACTCCGATAATAATGTCACGCAACGCAACGCGTACGCTATATTACAATTCGTTTCGTCCACACTCACTCGTTCTCACTATTGCAATGCCCATCTGGAACGTTTTACTATCAACGAGCGATTTCATACACACTTGACGTTTGATATGTTGTGCGCTCTCTTTCAGAAATCGCTTAGGATGATATGACAGCTTACCAAGTGACTAAATGGGATATATATTCAGAAATGAGAATTTTTTACCCATTCAACGGGGATGAATCCGGGCAATTCATGTGTCATTTTGTAGTGCAGATCCAGGATATTTGGCACTTGTTTACTTTGGGGGATATGCACACAAGCACGCTCGCGTGTAACAACCGAGGCCACGCCCACTGCGAATGGTCTCAGCCTAAGTGCAACCTCAGACCCATCTGAGCGTAGCCTGAGACTGCTCGATGTTACAACAGGGACCAATAAGCGAGCTCAGGCTTAGGCTTAGGCTGAGAATATGCTTAGGCTGAGGCTATGCGCAGTAGGCGGTTGTTGTACGCGTACGTGTTCCCCAAAGTAAACAAGTGCCGGGAAAATTTATAATCGTGGTGTATACCATATTGTAGCCGAGATGGAGTGCTACACTTTAAGCATTGAGATCAACTGATAGGTTACGAGAGTTATGCCGCTTGGCGTGACCGGTGGTGATGCTCAATAGTCACAACTGGCATATGTGCTGAATTAATTGAAATTCTGTCTGTCTCAAAAGAAAAATTGGGAAGAAAGAAAGAATATCAAGACCAATGATACCAAGAAAACTTGTTACTGCGCAAAACGCCGGAGAAAAACATTTGAAAAGATCAGTTTTTCATCATTTTCCTACGATACATTTCAAACTAGTAAAAATGATGAAATAATGTGAATTTTCATAACGTTCGATGTGAAATCATTGGAAGAAGAGGAAGACTCCAAAACACGGCCTTTCAGTTATAAGCAAGACGTATCCTCTAATCGAACTGCCATCAAATCGTCAGAAACGAAATCGCCTTTCACAATCTTTTACTTTCAACTTTCAATAGGATATTTTGTCCCGTTTTGCTCCTCGACTTCAACATTTCAACCAAATATCACCAATACAAACGCAACGTCATAAGGAAATGAAAAACTCTGATATGTACGACCAGCATGTGTGGACCCTAATATTTAATTCTATTCATTTCATGTAAGCATAACTCCTCAAATAGGCCAAATTGCTCAGTAATCGAGTGATGCAAAAAAAATTCATATGTAACTGGGCAAATCTGAGCTTACG